AATTAAGTTAAACGGATTATATTGGCCACATGATGTACTCCAAGCAATTACCAGATGTGATTGCTTCTCATTGTCTCTATTGCCACTACCTTGGTCCAAAGTCACAGTCATTTCTCCCTTGGATAACTTCAACAGTCTTCTAACTGATCCCTCTACTTTTACCTTTGCTCCCACCCCAGTTTCCCGAATATGCTCCATATAGCAGCTGAAGCAATCCAATTAAAATACAAGTTGAACCCACTGGCTCTTCTACTCAAAACCACTGATTTTACATCTTACTCAGAGTAAAAATCCAAATCCCTTATCGTAACCTATAAAGCCCAGACCCTACGTCATCTGGCTCCCTACTGCCGCTCTTGTGCTGCTCGCCTACCCCCTTTTCCTCTGCTTCTGCCACCTCAGCTCTCCTAATGTCTTTGAACACCCAGCCATGCCCACCTTAGGACCTTGGCACGTGCTGCTTTCTCCTCTCCTTGGAATCCTCTTTTCACACATATCCCCATAGATCATTCCTGAACTTCTTTCAGGTCCTTTTCTTTAAAAGAAAAAAACCGGGCCGAGCCCGTGGCTCACTCAGGAGAGTGTGGCGCTGGGAGCGCAGCGACGCTCCCACNCGGGCCGAGCCCGTGGCTCACTCAGGAGAGTGTGGCGCTGGGAGCGCAGCGACGCTCCCACTGCGGGTTTGGATCCTATATAGGAATGGCCGGTGCGCTCGCTGGCTGAGCGCAGTGTGGGTAACACCATACCAAGGGTTGCGATCCCCTTACCGGTCACGAAAAAGACAAAAAAAAACCCCCAAAAAACCCCAACAAAAAACAAAAACAAAAAACTCTCTCTTATTTAGATTTTCCGTCTCCCTGGCTATCTTATCTAAATTTTTTAATTTTCTCTTTAGTATTTCAATATCTCCCTCCTTTTTCTTTTTTTACTGTAATATTTATCAGCACCTAGCTTACCAAAGGTACACTGATTTGCCTTGCTGAGTGTCTGCTGACCGCACTAGAATATAAATCTGTAAGGGCAAGAAATTCTTTATTTTTGGCTTATTTTGTTCACAGCTCTACTTTCAGTTGGAAAAATGCCTGGCATGGAGTAGGTACTCAATAAATATTTGTTGAATGAACAAATGAATATTACCTCTCACCTCTTCACATGGCTTTCCCTTAACCAAGCCAATAAAAGCCTGTGATTATTCTATATGGTAAGAATAATTCCTTTCATTTCTAAATCATTAAGACACTCTGAAGAATAGGCTTCAACTCTTGAATTTTTGGTGACAGAGAACACATCTTTGCATGATACATGGCATTATTACAGATTCTACAGTCTGTAATTTCTATTATTATGATATTGTGGAAGGGTGCTATCCATGACCAAACCAAGCAGATGATATTTGGACTTAAAATATATCATTTTTGAGAAGCATAAAATTTCATCTGAACAATCCCAGGAAAAACATACTAGAACTAGACCTTATAACTTACTTGGAGATTCATTATTTTCACAGGTTTCTTCTTCGTTTGTTGCTGCTGCTGCTTCCTCCTCTTCTTCTAGGTCATCAGTATCTCCTGACTCATCACTGTCTTCCACCCACTTGCCTGGCATGAGTCCTGCTGAGTCATAGGAGTTGCACAGAGGACCCACGATGTGAGAGATGAAGGATTCCTGAAGATTGGCCAACTGAGGAGCAGAACGGTCCATGAAGGGGCTTATGGGTAGCCCAAGGCTGGCCTCTTCATCACCCTAGAAATAGAAATTTAGCACGAATAGTTAGCTAGAAAGGCAAATGACAAGGTAAGCTTAAAATATAAGTCAACACTTATCAAGCATCTGAAATGTGTAAATATGA